GGGGGGGGGGGGTGCAGAGAGAGGTTAATGAACTTGTTTCATGTCACTCAGCCAAGGTGACAAACCCTGGGTCGACTCCAGCTGCATTTTCTCAGGCAGCACCCTGTCCTTAAGGCTGCGTGATACAGTGGTCAGGAGCACAGTCATGGTCATTGTCCTGGGTTCACAGCTTGGCTCCACCTTGTGGGCAAGTGGACTGGGCTGGTAACTTGACCTTGCCATGTCTCCATGTGTACAATGAACTTGGTGAGTACTGTCCCGTGGGGGGTTAGGAGTCCTATTGGAGTTACATATGTAAGTGAGGTTTTGTGAAGACTGACTGAGGTGCACTGGGAAGGGTTTAAGAATAGAGCCTGGAACACTGTAAGCACCGTGGACATTTTTACTGCTATTATCATTAACGGCTACCTCGAGCCTGGAAAACCAACAGTCTCTTCTGATTAACTTGAATTGACCTGGGAGCAGATGCAGGTTTCGGGAGAGATTAAGTGTCTTGCTCAGGTTCTATAAACTGGTAAGTGGCAGGACTCGGTGTTTACCCCTGTGCTTGGCGCCCTTGCTCTGAGCGTGTAATGTATGCATTGCCCCCAGGGAGCACTTCCTTGTACATGGGGTAGAGAGATTTTCCTCGAAAAGTGCTTGCTCTCTCCCTCTATGGAGTTTATAGATGGCCCTCTATACCTACCTTCAGGAGGACAGTAGTACTTGGTATTCATAGGTTCCTTGTTTCCGTTTAACTTTGTGGCTTTATGATGAAATTTGCCCAGTGCTGCCCACTAGGTGGAGATTTTCATTATGGCAGATTTTTGTCTAATCTTGATTTAAAAAAAAAAAAAAAAAAGCTTTCAACCTCACAAAGATGAAAAACAACAGAAGATCAGAAATATGGCTTGGTTTTAATATTACAGTTTTCTTTTGCCTGTCATTTGGTTTTCTTTGAATGCAGGTTAAACAGAAACTCGGTGTTCAGGGTTACTTAAGTGGTCATTTTATTTCATTTCTTTTCTTAAGGATTGAAACTTTGGGGTGGAAGACTAATAGAGAAAAAAAGCAAAGGACAGATCCAGGTATTTCACGTCACACTTCATTGCCAGCGTGCCATGCCATGGAGGGGTACTGATGTGAATGAGGTGGGGGTGAGCTGTGACAGCACCAGCAGCTCCTGGAGGCCTCCGCGGGGCTCTTCTCCCATGGAAAGTAGAAACCCTCTTGTCCTGTTTTTGAGGATTGACTGAGAAGCATTTCTTCTCTTGCCTGTCAAGTACATACAAGGAGGAGCTGCTTAAGCCCTTTCTGTCCCCCTCCCTCCTGTGTCTCCTCTGCCAGAGGCTGAGGGACTCTGGCAGCAACCCCACGTGCAAAGCTGTGCCAGCCAGACAGACCTCTCCCAGCCCCATGCTTTGGCAGGAACTGCAAGCTTACTGGTTGGGTTCTTCAGAAAAGACCCAGTTCAGGCCCCCCTACAAAAGGAAAAGGCCCCTTTTCCTCTTCTGAAAGGGGGAGAGAGGGACCGGGGTAGGGTGCTGGGTGCAGGACCACGGTTCCATCCTTCCTTCCACATTGCGCTACCTCTCTAAGCCCCGCGGTGGTTGCTTGGTTTTCCCCGAGTTTATCCGTGGACACTGCAGCTCTGCGATCTGTTACGTCTGTGGAAGGTGCCGATACAGCTGCCTTCCTGCTGCCCAGCCTTTCCTGATAGTAACACCTGCAGGGATGGCTGGTGTGTCTTAATCACTGCTTCTCAGCCCAGGAGCCTGTGCCCAGAGTGAAAACCTCAGGGTTTGGGTTCCAAAGCCATTAACAGCCTGTTGGAAGTCACAGTCCTTCCTGATTAATTTGTTTAATAATGCTCCTAATACATTTAGTCATAGAAATGTTAGAAATACATATAACTGCATACTTAACATTGACCTTTCTTCTCTAGCTAGTCACAGGTGATATTTTAGTATAACATGATTCTTTACAATACATATGTTTATAAGTACACATATTACTACCCTGTTTTTCCCCCATGTAACTTATATTGTGAACACTCCTCTTCCATTAAAACTGCTCTCTTGTCGATAGGTGTTTAGCTGTTTGAACCTTCCTTTATTGCAAACCAGAATCAGCACACTGTTCCTGCAAAGGGCCAGATGGTAAATACTTTAGGCTTCTCTGGCCACGTGGTCTCTGTCATAGCGACTCAGCTATGTTGTAATGGGGAGGCCGCCATAGACGATACATAAACTACTGGGCATGGGTGTGTTCCAATAACACTTCATTCATAAGACCCCTGTTCGTAAATACATTCATAAATACTCCTTGGAGAATAACCCTTGTCTCTTCCCAGTACTGGCGTCACCCTTTTCATAAGTGAGGTCATTAGGTCAAAGGATTTGCACTCTTTAAATTACACATCATAGTGCCGCCTACCAGTCAGACCAGTGCCTGATGGTCCTGGTAGCAAAATGTTGTCATCTGGATAGTTAAGGTTTTTGCATAAGTGTAGACGCCCCCATCTGGGGTCTGCAGAGTTTTAAACCCCTTTTCTGGAATTAGACAATTGGGCGTGGTCAGTGTGTCCACAACCTAAAATTGCCATGGGTGATTGTGCCCAAATCTGCCTTCTTTCCCAGACACCCAAATATTCAGCCCCCAACTCCATTCCCTCCCTGACATTGCTGCTTGGAGGCTGTGGGTGTGTTTTCTTAGGCCAGTTTGGTCCTAACACAGGCCCAGTTTCTCTTGGTAGACCCCATAGCTGCCAGTAGTTAGGATTTGGTGAGAAATGGCTGCTTCCCTATAATTTTCAAACCAAGTTCTGCCACGGCCGCAGACATAGCTGCCATGAATACCTCCGTGAACTCCACCAGGTAGGATTTGGTAACCCTGTGTTCACAGGCGGCCACGGGTCCCCTGGCCCTTAGAGGTGACTCCTCAGGGCTGTCTCTAAAGGGCTAGGCCTCCCCACCTACTCACGCCTGTTCTTGTGAGACTTCACCTGGTTCCACTTGCAGGGTCTCACCACCTGCCAAAGGTTATAAAGGAGTTGTAGACCTTACAACACTGAGGTGAATGTTTTAAGGTCACACAAAGTCCCAAGTCCCCCAGAGGCCTCCTGAACTTCTGGATTCTACCTGATGACCTAGTGACAGTGTTGTCCGGTTTCCTGTTGGTTTTTCATTTGCCACCAGGATGTGCTGGAAGAGAAGCCTTGTGGGACTCCCTGTTCTCCCACATGTGAACGGGGGCCTGGAGGCTCCTTACTTTACAGTGGCTTTGAAATGTGTTAAGACTGAAATGAGTATGTCTTTATTACTTTCGCACTTGGAGGGCTCCTCCGAGCAGATGGTCAGCAGGAGAAATGGCCTCATGCGAGCCACAGCTGGAGGTGACGAGCTGCCTGAGCCTGGCACACAGGATCTGGATGTGGGTGAGTGTGCCCTGGGCTAGAGACTGAGGTCTCAAGGGACTGGGCCTGACATGTCCAGCATTTAATGTTTATATTCCTCATTGGCTTTTTCTTTTTTTTTTCAAATATGTTTTAATTGATTTCAGAGAGAGGAAGGGAGAGAGAGAGAGAGACAAACATCAATGATGAGAGAGAGAGTCATCGATCGACTGCCTCCTGCATGCCCCCTCCTCCCCCGCTGGGAGTAGAGCCCGAAACCTGGGCATGTGCCCTGACTAAGAACTGAACCGTGATCTCCTGGATCCTAGGTCGGTGCTCAACCACTGAGCCACACTGGCTGGGCCTCACTGGCTTTTTCTAAGGTCTGTTTTAAAAAGCAGAACATTTTACAGTGAACTGTTATTTCCTCCCTATAGGAGCTGTTGCGCGCTGTGATACCGACACAAAAACAGTCCTCAAATACTATAAAATAATAAACATGCCCCTCACCCCACCCACTTTTTTTAACTTTTTGCAAAAAAAAAAATCTCAAGCATTTAATAGCCCTAAGATCTTCCCTTATAAGGTGGTGGTATGAACCGCTAACTTCCACAAACTTTCCGCTGGGCTGAAGGGACTCAGCTTCTGAATCAGAGGTCACTGACAGAGCTAGAAATGCTGTAAACGCTGCTCTTCCCGTCTCCACCGCTCCAGGCAGCTCCTGTTCTGACAGGGTCTCTGGATCACTGATATGCAGGAATCATGGCCGACAGCTGCGTGCCGCTAAAGCGAGCCGCTTGAAGTGATTGGAATTTTTACCTTAGAATGTGCTCAAGTGATACGAAAACCATCCTTGGGGGGGGAATGCAAGCTTTCTTATAGATAGTGGTTGAAATTTTCCTTTTCTTGCTTTTAGATTCAGAAAGCAGTGATGTCGATGCAACTTTACACCTGGGGGACTCGGCTGCCGGGGCCTCGACGGTAGGACCCACCTTCTGTAATGAAGGGATGGGCGGGGCGCAGGGTGCAGGCGCATCCCTCTCACCTGCCCTTTCCTCTTCTGCAGCTCGCTCTTTGCTGATCCCACCCCTCTAGTCTTTGGTCCCTCTTCAGTTCCCCTGGCAGCACCTAGCACTTGGCAGCCACCACTACCCAAGTTCAAGCTGATTCACTGAACGTACGCAGATGTTGGATGCTGTGCCCTTCGCGCACAGAAAAATCACAGCTGCATTCGCCTTGGTTGAGCGCACAGTACTGAAAGTCAGGTTCTCAGTCGGTCTTCCTCCATAGAGGCTACGTCGTAGGAAGGTGTTGTAGGGAATCTTTCTAGGTGAGCCCTTGAAAGCCCATGGAGTCACATGGTCACACATTCGGGCAGGCCGTGCTTTTGTGTCTGTCTCCCAGCATGCCTCAGTAGTCGCAGAAACCACCTGTCTCCTTATAGGGTCTGCCTCTCACCTTGCTGCTCTGTTGGCAGAGGTGAGAATAGACAAAGAACTTGAGCATCGTACCTGGCCCGTGTGGGATGCTAGAGGAGCTGGCATGTGATTTTCCTCTGAAATCACTCTTTTTTGTGTGCATAGTTTGCTCATACACCCATGTGTGGCTTTGAGTGTGTACCTAGAATAAGGTGGTGACCCTGGGGGAGGAAAGGGGTACTTGGTGATAATTTTGTAGGGGTGACGGCAGTGACGGGGAAGTAGGCGGCCCCACAGTAGGGACACACTGAACAACGTATGTCTCTGTTACCCCGTCTGCGTCCCCAGTCCTAGCCTCACCCCACTCGGCTGCAGAGAGAAGAGGTTGAGACCCATTGTCTTCAGTGCGAGAGGCAGGTGGGAGACAGAGGTTACCGGTCCTGCCTCCTGAGCTGGAACTGAGCTTCTCCTATAAAACATAGGAGTTGGGTCCGTTTTATTAGCTGTGTCCTGAACACACCTAAGAATACTCCAATTGTTTCCCTTTTTTCTGCTCTACCAATGCTGTCATTAACTTCTGCACTTTTTTATCTTTCAACTTTCCTTTGGATTGTTACGACCAGTAAACTCCCTAAGGTCAGATTCCCGTGTCAGGTGGATTTTCAAAGGGGCTGGTCCACTTTGTACTGGTACCAGCGGGAAGTGAAAAGGTGACTTTGAGGAACTCCATTTAAAGATTCACACATGACTGAGCTGCCAGTTTGCTCCAGAATCCCAGAGCTCGTCCATCCCCAGAAGCTCTTAAGATGCTGACTTCTCTTCTGTGTCAGCCCGCAGTGCCCCGGAGCCCTTTGAAAGACGAGCTAAGGAGGAAATACTTGACCCAGGTGGACGTCCTGCTGCGGGATGAAGGCTGTGCGGAGGTAAGGCACCCCCCAGTGTGTATCTCTGTGTAATTGGTTACAGATGAGAGACGCACTGAGGGTCTGTCGTTTTCCAAATCCTGTCGATATCTTTTCATAAAATAAGGACTTTTTTTTTAATCCTCCCCCGAAGATGTGTTTATTGATTTTTAGAGTGAGAGAGAGAGAACATCAATGTGAGAGACAAACATCCATCAGTTGCCTTCCATATGCACCCTGTCTGGGAATCGGACCTGCAGCCTTTTGGTATATCGTTCAGCACTCCAACTAACTGAACCACTGGCCAGGGCAAATAAAGGACATTTTAATCCCAAGTAACTAGGAAGTACACGCGCGGAATAATTCATCTCAAGGGCAGCAAACTTAACAGGACTGCGTATGTTTTCTTCCTGTGCTGCTGACCAGAGAGGAGCCTGTGTCAGGACCATGAATCAGAGGGCACACTGGACACGCCTTTGCCTTTACCCTAAAGCAGCAGGCGGTGTCCTGACAGGTGGTGGCCCTCAGGGTGTCCTGAAGGCCACCTGGACAAAGTGTCTGGTTTTCCTAAGACACTTCCCGCCATTGCTCTAAGCCCAACCGTCCACTGTCGCTGTGGCAGGCACCTGCCAGTGCTGCTGCCGGGCTTCCATGCACAGTTTCCTCACACATCCTTGGGCGTGGCAGGCGGGGGGTGCTGTCCTAGTGCGCCCAGAGCCAGCATCTGACAACTCCTTTGTTAAAGTCACTTGCTTTGATTTCAGTACGATTATGGAGATGGAAGCGGCACGCATGTGACCCTGGTCCCTTCACTGGCCCCACCTCCCAGGCCTGCTCATGGTGAGTGCGATGACTGCATGGACCGTGCCCTGTGCACCGTTGGAGCCACTCCGCCCCTCGGTGCAGCCCCTTACGGTGGGCACACACCATCTGCTGTGCAGGTTCACCAACATAAACTGTTTGAGGCACCTGCGTTTCATGGATGAATTATTAAGAGTTTAAAGTGAGCCGCTTTTTTCCTCTGGGACTCTGGCATGCTAATTCTAATTAGCTCTCTATCCCAATTTACTATTTTGAAAATTTTTTGAATCTCCAGAAAAGTAGGGCTCATGCAGTAAACAATGTTCCATATTTCTCCTTTTTTCATTCCCCAGTATGCTTTTTAAAAAATTCTTCTGCAGTCAGTAAGAACTCATGGACTATTTTTTAATTCCGTGTTAGAATTCGCTGCCGTACTCTGTGTGATGCTCCGGTTGTCCAGGATTTAGCCTGGAGGAACCCCTTTCACTCTGGCCTCTGCCCTCTGACCTGTCTCCCCCCCCTTCATAACCTGTGCTCATTTGGTCAGTTGTACAGGACAAAATAATTCCAGACCCGGGGCACCTGTTGCTACTCTGCCCGGCAATCTGCAGAGGAGGTCTGGGATGTCTGAGAGCAGCTTCACCCATAGACAGCCCCGCTGAGGGAGCTCACTCAGGACACAGGGTGCAGTTATTTGGATTCTGTTTTCGTTTGTTACCAGTTTGATACACAGGGTCATTTTTTTTTGTCTGTATTTGATTTTAGAGTGATCCCATCTTTGTTGGTTTAATTCTATTTAATATGTAAAACATTTAACACTGTGTGAAGGTCAGAGATGCCTGAAGAGGTGTATTCAGAACTCTCATATCTTCTGCCTCCCTGTAGGCAAACAGTGTCATTATTTTCTGCTTCCCTTTGAGAAGGCAACCAAGCTCTAAACTGTCCCTGCGGAAGGAAGGCTCTTTTTGGGAAGGTTGGTGGAGAGTAGAAATTTAATTTTCGCAGATAGAAAGAAATCCCTGAGAAGAGTCTATTGCCGAACACTTCGTTTTTTTGTATTGCTTTACCCATCGTGATCATGATCCAGCCTTCAGTCCCATGATCTGTGCATGCGGACTGTTTGAAGTGGTAACATACCTTTACCTGTGTGCTTTTCTCCAGGATCCTGTGGCCGTGTCTCTGAAGACAGTCCTTTTGACCCATCTGCGTCCTCACATCCTTGCTCCGCAGACATGGCCATAGTGCCCAGAAATGACAATGTCTCATTGCGAGAGACCAGTGGTTTCAGCTTCTCAAGCAGCCAGTCCTTTGTGGCTGACGACATCTGCAACGTGACCATCAGCGACCTGTACGCAGGCATGCTGCACTCGATGAGCCGGCTGCTGAGCGCAAAGCCCTCGTGCGTCATTTCCACCAAAACTTTCATCGTCCGAAACTGGAGCTCCCGGAGGAGACATGGGTGCAAGAGCAGAATGAACAGGACGTACTGCCGAAGTGGCCGGCATGCGCAGAGGGGCTCCCAGCGGGGACTTGTGCCCCGTGCCGAGCCTGCGAAAGAGGCGGGGGTTTTAAGAGAGCGCCAGAACTTTGGAGATCTTTCCAGCCAGAAGGCTGGATTAAAAGTGGAAAAGGCTTTCCCTGAAGCAAACAAACGCCAAATCTGGAAGGAGCCTAAAGGAACACCCCAGAAGTTGTCTTCGTTGATTTACATGAGCTCCAGCACAACACGTCATCTTGATTGGGAAAATAGACTAATGACATTGAAGTGGTTGATTTCTCCTGTAAAAATAGTCCCCAGACCGAGAACACTGCAGGGTGAGGGAGGGAATCATTACAGGGAGTTCGAAAGCAAGTTTGATAAACTTCATCAAGGATACTGCCCAAGCTCCAGGAAGCAGCTATGCCTGACCTACCTCCCCAGCTCCTCCTCCGGGGTCCACACGCTCAGGGGTGGTCCAGTGAGCCCGGGTGGCGCCTGGCGCTTAGAAACCCACTGTCCAAGTCAACCTTTCAGCAGAGCGAAAGCTAAGAGTCTAAATGTGGCTTTTGAAAGCCTGGGCAAAGGAGCTATTGAAGCAGGAAGACGCCTGCCAAGAAGTGACTCCTCTCCATCACTGTCTGAGATCAACCCCGCGCGGAGCCCAGGCCACTCAGCGCCCACAGCTGAGCTTTTTCGAGGAAATCATCTGGGAATATTGAAGTCAGGGTCGCTCTGCAATACTGTTTCGGTGCCTGGGGTACAACCTCTGTGCTCTGCAAGAGATCGTTACGAGGGAATTAAGGAGAGATTTGACCAGCTGCATCGGAAGTATTGCCAAAAATCGCCTCAGCGGGCAAAGGCTCCTCTTTGCCCTGGAGCATCTCCAGGTAAAGAGGGTGTGAAAGTTCAGAGTCAGAAAGAAGGCTCGTTAGGAAGATTAAGCCCAGTCTCTGGCTTCCTGGGCCCCCGAAAGCTGTCGTCACCGCAGTGGAGCGTCAGAAGTTCCCTGGGCTCGACCACAATTGAGGTCCATCCGTCTCCATGGTTTGAGCTGGCCACCAGGTGCAGCGCTCAGCCCCGGGTGAAAAGACCCCGGTTATCAGACCCCCAGGTGTGCGGAAGGTGGGCCGAGTCCCAGGATCCCCCTCGCGTGGTGGGCAGGGCCGTCCCGAGTCCACGGGAGGAGGCCGGCTCTTTACAGCCTGATTGGAAAAAGAAGGTGAGTCTTTGTCGAATGTGGCTATTTCACGGTAGGATTCTTTTGTGCATGTTAATGTTCTAAACTTTCTCCCAAATGCCATTCCTTCACGTCGAGTGTCCAGACCCCGTGGCCTCTCTTCTAGAAAAACATTTCAAAGCCCTGGAGTGCTGTGGCTCCCGATGGGACTGGGCGCTGCAGAAGCAGAAATGGCAGCTCCTCCCCGAATGAACCGCAGGGGCCTTGGGCTCGGAGTCGGGGTCTGGGCTTCCTTTCTTTCTGTTTCCACTTCTTCCCACAGCCCCGTTTTCTGTCTGCATCCAGCTCGTGCCCAGCTGAAACCTCAGCTTCCTCCACCGGCACCTCCTCACGCCCTTCCCTGTGGCTGGAACTACAAGGACCTGTGGCCAGTGCTCTGTCCTGCCAGCCCCTGGGGCTTCTCCAGGGCTGCCGGTCCGGGTTCTGCCTTGTGACAGCTCCTCCCTCCCCTGTCCCTGTCGAGTTCCATTGTTTCCTCTTGTGTCCCTAGACTTTGCCCTGGCTCATCTCCCACCTCTGGGCAACCACGTGCCCCCAGGGAGCCCAGTACCACAGCAGGAACCTGTCTGGACACAGGCAGATTCTCTAGGTTGGTAGCTCAGTTCTAGAAATCCCCATTTGTTTTATTTTTTGAATTTACTTCTGTGGATAAAGTCACATGCGAGCCAACCAGGGCAGGTTCGACAGACCTGCACTCTAATTGGCCTTCTCAGAGGAGGGTGATGCAAGTGTGCAGGTTACGGGAAAGGTTTCCCCTCCAGGACCCTCCTGGGGTGAGAGACATAGGTGAGGCCCAGCGAGGAGCCAGAGCACATGCAGGAGGAGTAGGCCAGCGGTCAGCCGGACCTGGGGAGCGGCCACACCCCAGAAGGCAGTGCTGGGGCAGGGCCTCGGCTGGATTCGGTAGCTTTTTCCCTCACTGTAAGCGTCTTCCCTTGTGTCTGGGCTTTGGGCTGTCTGCCCCCATCCCCCAGGCCCACTCGACTTTTTCAGACCAGGCCACCAGTGGGGTGACAGTCCCGTGAGGCTGAGGCTTTCAGAGGCCCGGCCACGTGCTCATGGCAGATGCTTCAGGAGCATGAAGCTGGCACATTGTTTGCTCTCAAGGTCACTTCTCGCCACCCCTCAGGATCACCTTGTTTCCCAGTCAGAGGGTACATTCCACCAAAGATGCCTCCTCAGCCCGGGGCTGTCCCTGGCTTCTCCCGGGCTCCTTGCCCCGCCTGTCTGAACCTGCAGCTGCCGTCCTGTTCCCTTTTCTGTCCCTCTCCCATCGTGCCCCCGCTCTGCTCACGCTTTGCCCCTCTAGTGCCTGCCGACTGGCCCTGGAGTGTGCGGGCTCTTTCCCGCCCTCTCCTGCCCCTGCTCCACCCTCTGCGTGCCTAGCGCAGTGTCCCCTAGCCCTTTGCTCGGCTCAGCCTGGGGGCCACATGTGCCTGGACGTGGAGGAGAGCTCGGCCTCGGTGCCCTGTGGGACCCTCCTTTCCCCTTGGAATTCGATAAGCCCACCACTGGAGGCCTTTGCAGTTTCGCCCTAAACCACAATATAAACATACTTAATAATTTTCATTCTTTTCCCTCCCTAAATTACAAATTTCTTGAGGAAAAGGACCGTGTCTTGGTGAGCTGTGACTGCAGAGGGATTTTAATGGCCGACACCTGGGTGCTTTCTGCCCACCAGGCCACGTGGCACCCTTTTCCTGCCGGCCTTCCTTAACCCCACAGACCCTTCCATGAGATAGGTCTGTCCCTTTTGGTAAATAAGGAGATTCGGCTTCAGTCTTAGAACTGCGGAGCGTCCACGGGCACGCGTGGCTGGGCCAGGATTCGAAAGCAAGCTCGTGGACTTAACCGCCAGTGTGTGCTGCTGCCGTAGGGCTTACTCTTAGTTTCTGTTCTTGTTTTTTTTTTGCTTTTTTAAACATTCCTTAGGGTACTTATTAAGCATGCTGGTATTTTCTATAGTGGACACACTAATATGTATATATTCAGGCACTGGAATAGAGATAAGACAGTTAAGCTTTCGGTGGCTGGCATGGAAATTCTAGTGGAATTTTACTGAAATCGTCTTTTTTTGTTTTTCCCAGAGGAAAGAAGGGCACATCTTTCAGGACGGAAAATAAGAGATTTTGTGGTAGAAAACTCGAAGCTAAAAATCTACAGCCAAGTTATTTTAGGGCATTGTCCCTCTTCTCCCGACTCTGTGTGTGCGCCTAATTCTCAACACTTAGAGCTCCCTTCAGTTACCTGCCCTTCAAAGCAAATGTCCGCGAAATTGGTTTCCTTGAGGTGGCTGGCAGGTTCTTGGTACAGAAGTTATTGAAAAAAGGTTGCTCAATTAAAATTATTAATGGCGTCCTTTGCAGGGCTATTTTGCTTGTGTTTTCTTTGCTAAATTTAGAGATGCCAACAGAATTCTCTCTTACGTTTTTCCATTTCCTTAGGGACATTGTTTGCTTTGAAACCTAAGTTGAAGCCCTGGACAGTGATCCCTGAAGGAGAAATACAGCTGATCCGTCTTTCAAATTCCGACCCATGGGACCTTCCACATCAGGAGGCAGCAAACGGAAACGTGATTCATCCATAAAGAGTAATCTGTGTTTTTAGAGGAAAGCGTGCTGCATTTAAACATTCCTGTGAGATCCCCGCAGCATCCATGACATCTCAGGACTCTTACCTGAGCTGTTTATAATAGAATGTTTTCTTTAATAAAATGTTTCAAATATTTAGAACACAGGAACCAAACCCCATGTTGAGAAATTGTTATATCACCATGTGTTACGGATTTTCTTTTATTTTAAATAAAAGATTACAGATGAGATTGGATGTCTCCCCTTCCCGTTCCTTGCCTAGGCTGCCACTCTGCGGCCACATGGCCTGTGTGTGTTAGCTCAGGCTACATAACAACATACTACAGACTGGGCGGTTTAAACAACAGAAATTTATCTCTCGCAGTTCTGGAGGCTGGAAGGCAGAGGCCCAGGTGCCAGCGAGGTCAGGTTCCAATAAGGACTCTTCCTGGATTGCAGAAAGTGCCTTCTCCCCATGTCCTCACATGGCAGAGTGAGTGTTTGGTGACTCTTAGAAGGGCACTAATCCCACCCTAAAGGCTCCATCTCAGGTGTCCTCACACTGAGGTGAGGGCCCCCATGTATGAACTGAGGGGACATGTTCAGTCCAGAGCCTAGGAGTCAGTCAGGAGGGCCAGCTGGGGGCTGCTGACCCAGGCTCAGCCCAGGCCGGAGGGGCCCCAGCAATTCTAGACCTTTCCTCATCAGGAAAACTTGTTCCTGCCCCAAGCTGCTTGCCCCTTGCCTCACCCCCACCCTGTTACCCAGCCGGCCTGTGCTGAGATCTCTGTCCCAGCCTCGCTGCTGGAAAGCCTAGAAATTTGGGGTTTTGGTGTCCTGTCATCTAGCAGAGGAAGGTGAGGCAGAAGTGGCTGGGTTGGGCCTCGGCCAGCTTCTAGGCTCTGCCAATAACGGACCCTGTGGGCATATGGCATGGTGCCCTCTGGTGTGTATTGCATTCGGCTAGTGGATGCCTCCGCTTTAAGAGGGGTCCCTGGGGGTGGGGACTGCGCAGTAACCAGGCTCCTCTCTGCCTGGCATGGCCACAGGCAAACCCCATCATGGATGGGACTGAAATGCCAGTGAAGACCCAGTGGATTCTAGTGCTTTGGCTAAAAGGGGTTATCTGACCTTGGCACACCCTGGAGAAAGCAACAATGACATGGCCCCATTGGGACTGATGTCTCCCTTGGCCCCGCTGTCCTGGCTCTGGGAGATTGTCACCTTGCAGTCAAGAATCCACCCCACGTGGCAATGGAGGTTTATTTCAATGGAAAGGAAGGGATGCGCTGGGAACAATGCTTTCCTTACAAACTAAATTCAACGTGGTCGGCATTGCTGTGGGTGGGGCGGGCACTGTGAGGTGGCAGTTTGCATTTCACATTCGGGACACTGAGGAAGTTCCTTCTGGTGAAGCCAAAAGCTGGTGCTGACTACAGGCATCCAGGATTTTGAGAGTCTCCAGGGCTGCACCCCGAACCCCGACATCCGAGTCCAGCTGTAGCTCCTGGAGAGCTGGGAGTGAGCACAAAAGGGGAGGATCAGGACCCTGGTGGTCGGGCCACACCCCCACCCCCCGCCCATGCCCACAGAGGCCCAGGGAGTGACTGGCAAGGGGCTGTCGTGGCTGCAGACATGGGACCCCTGTGTTTGGAGTCAGGGGGCGGCAGATGGAGCTGTGAATCCACACACATCTCCCATCTTCAGGGCTTCCCTCCTCTAATGACAGGAATCCCTCCAGAACCCCAATTGCCCCCTGGGTCAGCTGAAGGAATCAGGGCGGAAGCATTTTTATAAATGTTTGTGAAGGGGGAGGGGGCAGAGGCCCAGGAACAAATGTTCCTTCCTCCCCTCCCCAAAGAGAGTTTTGTCTTCCTTGGAAAGCACTCCACCGCGCCATCCCTCTCTCTCTGCCCTGGTTACAACCCCCCCAAATAAAACCCCATGACCAAGGGACGGCTGCCTGTTCCCTCGGAGGTTCACTAAGCTCCCAGGTACAGCTGAGCCCCCAGGACTCACAATTCCGTAATGCCACGAAGTCCAGCTTTCTCAGGTAATGCTCAGACATCTGCCTCATAATAACCCCTGCGTGACAGCCAGAGAAACGCGCGTCACACACGTGTCAGGTGAGCGGGAGACCTGCCTTCACCTGACCAGGTGTCTGCTGAGGAGTTAGCCGAGGGCGCCCGATTGAGAATCAGGCAGGTGGGCAGCACGGTGGGACAGGAGCTCTGGGCCCGACACCTGTCCCAGTCCCCTCCGGACCCGGGTCTGACCCCACGGCCTTCAAGGTCGCTCCTGCATCGGGAGACACCTGCCCGCTCACCTGCCAAGTTGCAGGAAGCCATTCTGATCCTTGACAAGTTACTTTTAATGTAGGTCATTGTTTCGAGCAAGAAACTGTAGAGAACGGCAGGCTTTTTCTGAGTCTGCAAAACACAAGTGACACACTGAGCCACGGAGGTGGTTGTCCCGGAGACCGGCTGCTCACAGGGTGTATTCCCCCTGTCGGATGCAGGGGGGCTTGCCTGCTCCAGCGTCACACAACAGATTAGAGGCTGGGCAACCTCCAGCCTCCGTTACACTCTGGTCTGGCCCAGGGAAGAGATTATATTCATCCAAAGCCTATGCCGTTCAATACAGCAGCCAGAGGCCACGTGTGGCCCTTATGCACGTGAAAGGAGGCTGGTCTGAATTAAAAACTTCCGCGTTAATTACATGTTGAAATAAAAATGACTTGGGTCTATTAGGTTAAATAAGACCTATGATTAGATTTGGTTTCGTCTCTCCCCTTTTCTTAACATGGTTGTTAGAAAACTTAAAAATGGGCATGTAGCCTGCATTTATTTCTGCTGGACAGTGCCAGTCTCGACACCCCATGTCCAGGTGTTAGCCGAGGGTCTCGAGACAGACTCTGTGACAGCTGAGACCCCAAGCCCAAGCCACTGGGCAGCCACTGCCAGCAGGTCGGTCCCCCTTGGCCTCCTCACCAGGAAGGAGCACAGGGTCATCTGGAAAGTGGCCATCTCGTCCTCCCCCTGGGTGCCGCTTCGCCCCGAGGAGTCCTCCAGGCCCTTGCAGCCCCAGAAGTGCACACACTGATACATGGTCTCCACACAGGCCTGGAGGGACACAGAGCAGAACAGTAAGAGACATGCCAGGGACTGAGGGGTTCACAGGAGCGGTGGGGCTGGCCCGACTGCGTTCCATCGATAAAGCCAAGGGGTAGCCCTGAGAAAGCCTCAGGAAGCTGAAGGGTGGGTTGGTGGGCCCTGGGAGGGGACCTGGGACCAGAGCCCCACCAGCCTAGATAATGGCTGTGTATGCATTTATAAAAAGGCCCTTGGAGACCTTGCCAGCATGGCCCAGTGGTTAGTGGGTCAGCCTGCACACCAAGGGTCGCAAGTTAGATTCCCAGTCAAGGGCTCCTACCCGGGTTACAGGGTCCTGGACCCCGGTTTGGCCACGTGCAAGTGGCAACCAATCACTGTGTCTCTCTCACATTGATGTTTCTCTTTCTCTCCCCCTCCCTCCCTCCCTCTAAAAAAATCAATGGAAAAAGTATCCTTAGGTGAGAATTAGCAAAACCAAACCAAAAGAGCCCCTTGGGGGCAGCTGCAGCCCACTTGCCCCCTTAGTCAGCACCTTCATGCCCTCAGCAGCCCTGCCTGGGGGGCCTGCCCTTTCAGGAGATTGGGTTGGGGGCCTGGCTGGGCTGGCAGGACTGGGCATGCCTTCTCATTCCCCCAGATGCCCTGCGCCCAGCTCTTCCTGCTTCTGAGCCCTGCATCAGCCAGGCCCCTGGGCTCTGGCCTCCCGTGGGGTTAGGTCCCCGGAGGATGCAGGTAGCTGAGCCAGCAGACCCAGAAAACACTTTCCTTTTGGGGACAGCGGGCCCCAGACTTTGGGACTCAAAGCTGAGGTGTGTCTGACCTGGGCTGCGTCGGGGCAGGGGTCCTGGCAGTGCAGCATGAGCGGGACCCAGGCTCTCTTCACCTCCCCCTTGAAGAAGTGCTTCTTGGAAACCCTGACCACCTTGGCCAGCTTGCGGAACAGGAGGAAGGCCTTCAAGCGCAGCAGCTCGCTCTCCTGCGGCCAAGACGTGCAGAGCAGCTCTGAAGCCCGGGGAGCGAGGCGCCCATCACAGCCCCAGCCAGCCTCCGTGGGCCCTTTTGAACACCTGGGCCCCTGCGACGCCTTCCGGGTCATTCCATCGGGACGGAGCCTCTCCTCCAGGGCTCCAGGACCGGGTATAACTCTGGTATTTGTGACCCCTGCGTCCCGGAGGAGGGCTGTGCTGAATCTGCGCGCACACACTGCCTAGTGAGTCCTGGGACCCGGCACATCACAGGCGCCCAAGGAGCATGTGTGGGCTTCAAGGAATTAGAAGGGAAAGCTCATTCCCTACTAGCAGGGAGAAGGGTCCCTTGGGCCCTAGAACGAGATTTTTTTTCCCCCCACAAGATCCCATGCTCAGCCGATTGACCCGTCAGCACCAGGTGAGCCCCGCCGTCCTTTCTTCTCCAGGGAGGCACCTGCAGGGCCCCCACCGAGGGCCTGCGCCCGCTGAGGCTCTCATCTGGACTCACGTTGTCAAAGAAGGACCTGCACTGCATGGAGATGGCGTCGAAGAAGGGCCCCACGTCCCCTTCCCGCAGCTCCACCAGGATCTTGGTGAGGGCCTCCATGCCCTCAGAGGGCATGCTGGTGCCGCCGGGATCCCTCAGGGAGCACAGGCACTTCCCCAGGAGCAGCTTGCGATACTGCTTCACCTGGG